CTTTTTTAGGTGGAAAGATGCTTTATGCCAGGAGTTCCAGGGTCATTATAAATTTTTTCTTCATATGGAAGGATGTACTATTTGGCATATAACATTCCTAGCAATATTTTACACGTGGAAGTCTTTTTGTTGAAATATTTCCTCCATGTTGGGCTAACACATGTTGCTCTGATGGCCAAATTAACTTTTCCCCACATTCAGAAATTGCCTTGCCTGTTTAGAAATTTCCCATTTCAAAGGTATATCAGAATAACTATGCAGGCTTCCAAATGGGAAGAAATAAATTAATTCCAGATGTCAAAAATTGTTAGTGTTCCACAAGGGACAACATTCTTTCAGAGTCAATAAAATGCTAGCAGTTGCATGTGAGAGAAGAGCCTTTTTCAATAGCAGTAAATTTAGTAGAGATTAATGAAGTAAACAGGAAAGCCTTGTGCTATATGATGAAAACAGACTTTACATGGGCAAGCAAACTTTATATTTACTGAGAAAATAAGAGTTTCTAATAATTCTCCATTGTTAATCAGAAAAAATAAGGATAACAATAAGGAGAAGTGGCAACTGGATTGCTCTTCTGCAATACTTCAGAAAATAGAACTGATCTTATTCATCAAAGGCAAGCAAATGACTGAAATGATCCTTTTAGAAGAATTCACATTTTTATTAATGTGGTTATTCTTCAAATAATAGTTAATCTCTAACTTAAATACAAGCATGCTTCATCAAACAACTTCAGTTTTTAATTAGCACCAAAAAGAAGGATTTAAGATTGTCGTATCAAGATATTTGCCTTATAAATGGCACTGATTATTAATTGAATTTTTTCAAAGACAAAGGCAGACAGATAAACCAGGATGGATTAACCAGGTCTGACTGTGCACATCAAAAAACACAATGTACAACAATCTGGAACATGACCAAACCACTGTCATTGAAAATCTCATTGTCTTGCAAGTACATTTTTATTCCTGAAGGAATGTACATATGATATACAACAGAAGCAGAAACATGCTACCTGCTCGACCCTATACTACAATAAACAATCCAAGTAGTGCACTAACTAGCTATAAGAAGCTTCCAAGATCAGTAAAGTATTGTTAAGATTAGCACGCACCCAACTTGTGAGCAAGTCACTTTTAAGGCCTCATATTCTACTGTTTTTTCTGGAACTCCATCCAAAGGAAAGACAGGAACAATCATTCTCTGTGTCCTACTCTCTTCCAGACAGCCAGTTTCCACCCCACCAAACAGGCTGCTAGCTACAATATTGAGTCACACAGGAGATCTAGCTGTTATAAATACCATAACAGTTTAGTCAAGCCTTTTTCCCTTTATATTATTTTGCCTGGTTGTACTTTAAAAAAAAAATCAAATGATCTTAATAATAGTTGGTTTTGATCATATGTGGATCTCGTAGGTCTTTCCAGAACTTTGGACTTGAAAATTAGTATACGCCAATTAATATACACAACTTCCCCAGTTCATCCATTCTCATTCTAGGATACCAGCTTGCGGTCTGTTCCCTTCTTTACTGAAAGTGAAATGTAGGTGTGCAATAGACCAAAATATTGGGTTCAGAAACCTTGCCAGATGAGGACTGTGACTGAGCAACTCTATGGGTTTATCTTAACCATTGGTTGGCCAATATACTTTAAATTGCGGTACATTAAGGAACTGGCCTTACTTCCTTGAACACTATAAACACTATAAACTATAAACATTATAAACACTATAAACCAGGAGGACTGAAAAAGGGTTTCAGAGGTGGTGAATACTGCAATAAAGATCATCCCCTTCGTGTTAATAATAGAAATAGTGAAACCATTTCTGACAAAAGATTTAATTTAGATCTGATGGATTTTGAACTCCATAGAGTTGGTCAAATTGCTAATCATGTAGATCCATTTCAGCTTTGCTAGGTGAATGTGCCTTGATGGATAACTAATTTTTTGGCTTTTAGTGTCACAGCCACCACGGTATCCATCTGTACAATCTGTAAAATGCTAAAGCATTTCCAATCCTAGTTGTTTAGCTGGAGGGGAGAAGATGGTGCTTCTGAAATTTACACCATGGTTGCTGGGCATGGAAATTTCATTTTGCCTCCCGTGTTATTAATGTGTGTGAAATCACTAGGGGATCTCATTTGGAGATTTATGTTAACGTATCACCAACTTGCAGATACAAGGACATTTCTCTTTCTTCCAACCGCTGGTTTCCTTAAAATAGTAAAAGTTCTGGAAGCTAATGCTTCTGTTATTTTCAGATTTCATTGGTTTGTTTTATGTATCCACTAAATTTGAGATTTACTAGATTGAGATTTTATTGTCTATCCCTATCTCTTTGCTTGTGTTACTTTGATTAATAGTTTTTCTGCTATTCTTGTTTTTTATTCATGCTTTCTCATTTTCATTACTTATGTATAATTGATATTGAAAGCAATGTAAAAATGAGTTTAAAAAATAACCCATGTTTTCAACCCCTTAACTGCCTGCAAGAAAAAACCTTGGACTGAATGATGATCAGCTTTTGAGTTTCCCCAGTTCTCATAGGCTTCATGGAGTATGGACAAGAAACAGGTTTTCACAGAGTCCCTCCCCAGAAACATAATTGGCCCAAATAACTGGTCCAAAAGTAGTGTAGTGGATTATTTCAATTTCAATCAATTGTTCATCATCAATTACAGACTGATATTTATAATTGGTCCCAACTGTTATCTTTAACAAACTTGTTAAAGCTGCTTTGTTTGAACATATTTTTGGCTTTTAGTTATTCTTAGGTGCCTTGTTAATATGCTTTTTTCTTATTATACATGTTTATATTAAATATTTAATCTTACTGTTGCCTGCTCATAATCTGACAGGATTGGGACAAGATATGTACACTGGAAATAAGTAACAATTATCTTGCCCCCAGAGGGCACACAGGCTTCCCAGAAGTGACCATAGAAAGAATTAGGGCAAGAATGTGTTTTGATTGATCATGGCACTATATCATTTTTTACTTAGATACTATACACAAATGATATTTTATTGTGGGAATCTTTTGTAACTCACTTTTGGGAGTGGCTGTAGTTCTAAATTTAATAGAAATATTCAAAATTGATGAGTTTGTCAAGTCTCTGGTTCAGAAACTAAATCTGTGGATTAGGACAAATAGGAAAGAAGTACCAAACCTGGTACATAATGAGTGAAGGGATGGGACAAGGAAGAGATATTGAACCTAATATTTTGTATAAAGTATAAATCAAATCTAAACCCAAATAGCCAATATATGGAGAAAATATAAATTATATTTTATATTCTTGGGATTTTTGTAATATATTGTGTACTATCCAGTAATGGGTTTCAATTTTGGCTGTTACCGATTTGTTCATGGGCGCGCACACACTTGTGCACATGATGTTTCTGTGTGTTGTGGCCCCGCCCTCTGAGCCTGTCCCATCGGAGGAAGAAAGCTCCGAGCATGAGGAAGAGGAGTCAGCCAGGCCTCCCTCTCCAGGCCCCTCCCCTCTGGCATTGTCTCAAGTGCTGGCCGAGGGAGAGGAGACAGCTGGTTCGGATCAGAGTGATGAAGAAACATCATTCCTGGACGCACGCCTCCGAAGGCGTGATAAACGTTTGCAGCAGTTTAGGAGGCGTGCTAGGGATTAGAACTGAGTCACTGGACCACACCCCAGAGACTATATAATAGAGGGTGGTGGTCAAGGATCCTTGTGACGAACAAAGCAAATCTTGGATAGTCACTAAAGCCTCGTCCGGAACTGCTGAGAGAAAGATTTAAAGTGTCGGACATTTGGACTCTTGAGTATTTATCTTTCTGTTTTACTTTGAAAATAAAGTCACTTGGCAGACGGTGTGTCTATCGCTGCCAAGTGAGAGATAAGACCTGGGTGCGTTCCAAAGTGTTTCCTTAACCCTCGACTGGCTGTGTTGGTGTGTGTGTGGGTACGGGGACAGATCATCGTGCATGCGCAGAGACGTCCAGATGGGTGGGCGGAGCATACCACCTCCACTACCAGTTCGCCCAATCTGGGGTGAACCGGTAGCAACCCACCACTGGTACTATCTACTACAGGTGCTTTGTAATTATTTTGGTGGCAAACACAAATTTTGCTGAGAAATTTGAGATGCTGAGAAAAATCTCATTTTTCAGGATGGTAAGATTAGGGTGAAAATATGCTTTAAAAAGAGAGCAAAAATTCTTAAGTAACAAATTAGGATGTTCTTTTCCCCCCGTATACTGAATACTACTTCCTTACAAAATCTTGAGCATGCTCACTCAGATCTTGAAAATTGGCATTTTCAACTATACAGAGAACTAAAAACATATTAACACTTGGATCTTATACAGAAACAAAAGCCCACTTAGCAGTTTGAGACAATGTGAATACAATATTATGAACATTTAACCTGAACCTTCAGATATGAGATACAAAATGCAATTTCCATATCTTACTGAATTCAATAGAAAACTGGAGATCAGGTTACCACTTCTAGATTGTTTAGGATGATTTACAAAAGTTGCCAAGAAAATGATTATTTGTAATAATTTGTATTATTAATTATATTGTGATGAAAGGCCCAGATGATTTTGACAAGTTATATTCACAGTGGAGAAATCTCCTAGAAAGGTGATCTAGTAGAGAAAAACTATTCTGAACTCTACGAGTACCACTTCATTCAAGTATCAAACTGTGAGGAAAGTAATCCATGTAATTTTGATTTCAGAAGACTAAAAGACAAAATAACCTACAACTTCAAGCTAAAATTCATGAGATACCAAAGAAATAATCAAAAATGAAAAAATTCATTCTTGGATTGCTTACTTACACTCACTCTAAACTTGCATACTACAGCAATCTGCCTCAAAGCTCAAGACTTGAGAAATAAGGCTGGATGTGTGAGGTGAAGAAACTAAATATTGAAAACAAACTATAACTAGTTATTTCACAGATTATCTATACTGTATCCTAGATCACAAATGGAGAACATAGTACTTACTCCGTGGTTCCCTTGGTCCATCTACTGTCACTTTTATAGCTCTGTGATATGTAGCAACTTGAGGAGGATTTGTAAGGACAGTTATTGTTAGAGTAAAACTTTTCCCTGTTAAAAAAAAGGAAGAAAAAATAGAAATTACTATAGAAATGTTTGCACGAAATCTAAAAAATATAAAATATTAATTTTATATTTGGAATGGAGAAAAGAAATATGTCCTCTTCACTAATTGTGAAATTCAGCCAAGTATCACAAATGTTAAAAAAAGGATTTTTATATCAGATCATGAGGTAGTGGCAATAATTTGAAGTAATATCTTCTTCAAGAAAAAGGACATTTTTGCTTGAAGAGCAAACTGCTTGTAAGTGATTCTTTCAGGACATGTTCAGATCACCATTTTTAATGCTGCAATGTATAGCTACCATCTAGGTGAATCAGTCACAGAAACTAAATGGAACATGTCAGTTAAGGTGTGAACAGAACTTAGTCTTTTCACAGGCCCTGTCCATTGTGGCAGGTAGGATGGAACACAGCTCAACCTGTAGAACTAGGAATGCTGAAAAAGTCACCAGAGTAAAATTCTTTCAATAGGTTGAGTGCATGTATTTGTAGAACATTGTGGCTCACATCACAGGGCCTCAAAGAAAGATAAGCAAGGAACATGGAAGGAAATACATTAGATATCTAGATTGATTTTCTTGTAGAAGAACACAATATGTATGTTTCCTTGACCTTTTAGAGAAAAGCTGGGATAGTATTGCCACATATAAATCATAAGAGCCTTGGTGGCACAGTGGTTAGAACCAGGGGTGGGTTCTAAATTTTTTTACTACCGGTTCTGTGGGCGTGGCTTTTTTTGTGGGTGTGGCTTAGAGGTCATGTGACTAGGTGGGCGTGGCTAGCTGGTCAGTCATTTCTGGAAGGTCCTCGCACTTACGACCAGTCCTCGCACTTACGACCCGACTCATTTGTTTGCTTTTAACACTGATCAGCTGTAGGATGGCCCTTTGGAGCCCCGCGGCTAGAGTTTAAACAGTTTTTTTCCCTCTAGTCATCAGCTGGGACTCAGGAGGCAGTAATAGATTGGGGGTGGGACCAAATAAAAGGTAAGAATAACGTGGGTGGGGCAGTGGGGGGGAGGGCGGGGGGGAGAACCGGTTCGGTGATGTCATATCGTCACCGCTACCGGCTCGGCCGAACCGGACCGAACCGGAAGAACCCGGAGGAGCCTTGGTAGTACAGTGGTTTAATGCACCCTGTAATTAACACAGCTGCCTGCAATTTCTGCAGGTTCGAATCTTACCAGGCTCAAGGTTGACTCAGCCTTCCATCCTTTCTAAAGTAGGTTAAATGAGGACCCAGTTTGTGGGGGCAATAAGCTGACTTTGTATAAATATACAAAAGTATGAAGGCTATTGCTTAACGCATTGTAAGCCGCCCTGAGTCTCCGGAGAAGGGCGGCATATAAATCAAATAAAAAAAACAACCCACCACTGGTTACAACACAGTACTTCAGGCTACTTCTGCTGACTGCCAGCTGCCAACAGTTTGGCAGTTTGAATCTCATCAACTCAAGGTTGACTCAGCCTTCCATCCTTCCTAGGTGGGTAAAATGAGGACCCAGATTGTTGGAGGCAAGAGGCTGACTCTAAACCGCTTAGAGAGGGCTGTAAAGCACCGTGAAGCAATATATAAGTCTAAGTGCTATTGCTATTGCTATAAATAAATACGCATACAAACTAACTACAAGAGCTAAGGGCCTTGTAACCCTTATAGCTAAATCTATGGAAGAGCAAAATCCACAGCAGATCAGTACCTTTCTAAGGCCCCTAAAATAATGAATAACTGTTCAGTTCTCCAGAGCTATGCATCAAGAAAAGAAGAAAGCTTCCTTGACGTTAAAAGATCTACATCAATCACGGTCTTCACTTTACAAAGTAAATATAGACTTAACTGAATTCAGTTCAATTTTGTTTTGTTTCAGAAAAAAAGAGAGAATATTAGTATCTTAAAAAATATAAAAGAACTAAAAAGGACAGGTTCTAAAGAGAAATATTCAGCATTAAATTATACTTAATTAGTATTCATCATTTTCAACTCCAAAATTCAGTCCCAAATAATGCCTACTTGTATATGCTGCATACAAGGGCTTGAGGAAACATTAGGGAAGATTACAAGTAAGGTGTACAGAACTATATATTGTATATTAGGGACAAATTTCACATGCAAATAATCTGTTATTTTAACTATAGAATTCAATGAACTAAGTGAATACATATGATGTCAATTACATTCACACTTATCTGCACACACTTAGAGGAACAAAGTAATAAAGTGGATACTCAAAGTGAAGAAGAGTAATAATGAAGAAAAACTTTCCCTAGCGAAGTAAGACCCAGGGTTGCTGTTAGCTGAAAGAAACCGGCTTGCAAAGCCACAAGATGAAACTGTTTCCTGAAGAGAAGGTTGGATTCAAACTCCAAACACATTCTTACATCTTTGGGATTCAAAGCAAGTATGGAGATGTGTGGGTACACAGGATGCTACGCTACAGCACAGTAGCTTTCCATTGCATCAGGGGTTCAGCTTTGAGAAAAGCAAGCAATGTCTCATGAACATAGCTAAAATGATCTCTTCCTACAGACAGAGTGTGAATTGCAGTGGCCATGAACATCTGCAGCATGCCTGTGGCAATATGGAACAAACTGTATTATTATTATTACTTCAGTCATGACATATGGACTGGATTGGACTGATATAATTTGCCCTCCAAAGAAAGCCAAATTCTACTCCAGCACTTACTGCAAGGGAGATTTGCTCAATTGAGGAGAATTTCTCTTTCTCCTGCTGTTTAACTGAAAGAAATGTGCTGTTTTTACATTTGACTTCACATGGTTTTATCATTTAATTTGACTTTATCATAATACATAGAACTAATATATATTACTTCTGGGAGCCATAACAGAGTTTCCTATGTTCAATATGCCTGAGGTAACAGGAGGCTAATGATATAATTCACAAAGAAAATGAGAGATGGTTCCCCTTTCCCTGGACCATATTCCAGCTATTAAATCTTAAAGAAACTATCTGCCCAGGGTAAGATTGTGCTTTAAATGCATAAAATGTATGTTCCACTGGAAATCCCAATTACCATAATAGAAATTCTGCAGTTAAGATGGATGTGGTGCCCTGCAACTCTGCAAGTGTTAGGAAACGGAAAACAGCCTACAGAGAACAGACAGGATCTTCACCCAGGGAAGTCTGTGGCCTTTGTTCTGCGAGTCACTGACAGTTCTAATCAGTGAGATATGCAACTGTTAATCATTTCAGATAGTCAAAACTGCAAACTGTTTCAAGACAGGAAGAGGTGGGCGTGCAACAGTGACTCAATGCAACAGTCAGCTATCTCATGGCTTATGGCTCACTTTGCCTCCTGCTTTACCAGAATCTTTAAAAGATTTTATAAAATACCCAAGCCATCTAGGGATTTTGGATTTCTACCTATTCTATCCCACTTTATGGAACTCCAAGAATATTAATGAAAACACAAAATGTTAAGAAAATGTAGCAGCACTAAATGTAATACATTATTTCAAAGTCTAATACAAAACAGGAAGTATGACTGAGTGGGGCATGTGTGGGTGTGCAAAGGCACACGCATGTATAATACAGAACAGGTCTGTTGCTGTCTCATTCAGCTTTCAAGCCTTCCTGTCACATCATTTATTATCACCCATGTGGTTTCAGAACATTTGGAGAAACCTTACTCCAAAAAGAGAGAATGTAATAGTAAACGTCCAATGTAACAGTCGCACACAAAGAGAAGGCCTGCTTGTTCTCAGTGCAAGCTGACTTGCTCAGGCAATCCATCTGACTACCACAGCACAGTTTATGCTGTAAAATCTACTCAGAGGGCAGGGAGGGTTGTTGAGATCTTTAAAAAATACATAATATGGTAGACAGAAATATGGCAGACAGAAATAAATGCTCCTTGAAAGAAGTCAGCTGTCACTACCTTCATTTGAAAAAGGCAGAAAACTCTTATTTTAACTGATTTGCCTTTCTAGTCCTGATCACTGACTTTAATTTGAATGTTTTCCTTTTTTTAGACTTTCTTAATTTTAGCATACCTTATTTTTTATAACAGTACCTTTGGGCATCGCTTCAAATATTTTTGGAGTACGGAATGTACTAATCAATTCTAGAAATGAATAACCCCCATAGTATAAGGCACTAAAATAATGCAGATGCTTTTTGAGAATATATCTGAACAGGTCAAAGAAGCCTGTGTTCAGATTTAAGGATCTGTGGGGAACTACAAGAAAATCTGTTTAATTAAGCTATAAGAGGAAGATACTTGGTGTGCTTTTATTATATTCTGCCACATCAAAATACTTTTTTTTAAAGTATTGGGACAGTCTCAAGCATAGATTTCTAACAAGTGGGTAATCTGATTATACAGGCCTTTTTCATACCAGCTACCAGGAATGGTACTTGCCAAAGCTGGAAAACAGTCCCTCCAACCAACCATCATTCCACAGGGATTTTAGACCAATTATCTAACTAGCCTTTCCTGTTTTCCTTCCCATTCCTTGTTTATGGGAAGAAAAACTAAAAACCAAAATGGAAGCAAAAAGAGGGGCCAACCTTTCTCCAGCTTTGCAGAACGAGTTTCTCATAATTTAAGATTCTTAGGCTATACAAAACACCTACAAAATAAAAAGCGTGAGCTAGACAGAAGCATGGCACCATTTTGAGAGCATAAAATTCTTAAATCACTGGGATTTTAAAAATTGTGGATCATGACAATATTCTTTTACCACCAGACCTTTTCGCCTTCCTCATTAAACATTATTTCTGAAAGCAAATGATTCCTTTTAGAAATTTAATATGAACTCAGTGTCTAGGATCGTGATGGCGAACCTATGGCACTCGTGCCACAGGTGGCATGTGTAGCCGTATCAGTGGGCATGCCAACTCAGTTCTGGCGCGTAGGCGCGTGCTGGCTAGCTGATTTTTGGGCCTTCTGGGCCCACCAGAGTAGGGAAACAGGCTGTTTCCTCCCCCCGAAGGGCCTGGGGGTGTGGGGAAGGCTCGTTTTTCTTTCT